AGCCAGTGCTCAGCTGGGGAGGAGCAGGAGCAGAACAGCCCCTTCTGCAAAGGGCAATGGCCCTGGGACACCCTGCTGGGACCCTCAGCTGTGCCTGGGGCTTTCTGGCATCTGAGCTTCCAGTGTTCCAGGGAGACCCACCACAACACCCACATCAGTCCTCATGCCTCTGCACTGCTGGGTCTTCTGAATTTCTGCAAGCTGAGACTGTCACATATTGTGTATCTTGGCCGGATATTTAGGAGAACATAACCTGGCTTGCTACCAGTGTGAAAAACCTGTATTTTCTTTTTTCTATTTATTTTAAACAACTTTCTTCACTGCTTTCCATCCCCAGTACACAGATCCTGCTGAACCAAATAGTCTGTTGTTGATTTATAAGGACAAAAACAATCTTCAAGTGCTTAAAGAATACACCAACCTCCCCAGAACCAGCTCTGGAATATCTTTTAAACTATTCCCGTGTCAACAGACTCTCCACATCACCTCCTCCATCATGCATCTTGTAAAATTAGAAGCACCGACCTTTCAGCCTGTAGAGAAATAAACTACAGGATATCTCAAGTTACTGAGTTTAAATTAGACCTTTCTTAGAGGTTTGAGGTGAAAAGGAATAAGGGGTTCTTCCAGGAGACGCTGTTGTTGGAGACCACTGTTGATGTGATTACTCACTGATGGTTTTTCAGGCTCTGGTGTTGGGGAAGGAAGGAAGGCAGGATATCTGCCATCTCAGCATCTTCCTGTGGCTGAGAGAACTTGAATGATAATCTTACACTGAAAAATTGCCCTGTGCCAATCCTGGGGACATGGTGATGGAGTCACATCTGGGAAACGGTTTTGGTGTCATGAGGGGAAGTGGAAGGGAATTGAGAGTAAAGGAAACACTGGCACAGATTTCCCAGAGAAGCTGTGGCTGCCCCATCCCTGGAAGTGTCCAAGGCCAGGTTGGATGGGTCTTGGAGCAACCTGGGATAGTGGAAGGTTTCCCTGCCCATACAGGGAGTGGGACTGGGTGAGTTTTAAGATCTCTCCCAACCCAAAGCATTCTGTGATTCCGTGATTCCATGATTCCATGGTTCCAAGTTAATTTGGGAATGACAGCCCAGCATCTGTTGGTAGTGATTTATTTATTGATCTATAAATCTATTTACTGAGTTTCCATCCCCCCTCTCTGTGATCCAGGCCCTGCTCAGGTTCATCGGACATTCTGCTTTGAGCAGGAGCTGAGGCAAACACAGACTGAGTTCAATGGCTGGAGCTGTGGAGCTGCCTTGATCCTCACCAGACACTGTCATTAGTGTCTCAGCTGATGAACTCTGAGCTCTGGATGTGCTCAAAGCTCTGGGTGCATGTGCTGATGGGCAGCTGGGCATTCATGTCCCAGATTCGCCTTCTGCCCTCCTCCCTCAAGCTCCTGTGCCTCTGTTTGTGCTCTCACATGCCTGGCCTTGTGCTCCTGGGATTCTGGAGATGGTCTTCCATCTGTTTTCCTCTTTCTCCTGACCTCTCTGATCACCAAGACATGGCACTGAACCAGCCAGCTCCTTCAGCCCAGTTTGATCTCGCACATTGGGTGGGGCTTTGAGATTTCAGAAGAAAAACATGTGATGTGGTGTGTCTTTCTAGTTTAAACCAGAGTCATAATGTTTCGCATCCTCATTTTTGGGGAACTTTCAGTTCTGTGACCCTTCCCCACCAGCAGTCCCACTCCTCCCTGGCTCCTCAGGATGGGCTGGGCTGTGTCAAGTCCAGTGAATGGAGCACCAGGCAGATCACTCGTGCTCTAATTAATGCTTTTAGTCCCTTTTATTGCTTTATTAGTTTTAAATTGGCAGCACAGACTCCTGCCATCTTGACACCACAGGGTGCAGCATCTCGGTTCAGCTGGCAGTGTTTTAACCCGTGGAACACTATTTTCCCCACCCCTACAAGTGTCCAAGGCCAGGTTGCACGGGGCTTGGAGCAACCTGGTCTATGGAAGGTGTCCCTGCCTATGGCAGGGGGTGGAATGAGATGAGCTTTAAGGTTCCTCCCAACTCAAACCAGTCTGGGATTCTGTGATTCCACGATTTCTGGGTAATTTACTCTTTTTGAAAGTAATGCTGCTTCAACTCCACTTCCCACCCCCATTCCCTTGCCTTCCCTCCCAAATCCCTTGCTGTTCTTAGTCGGATCAGGGCTTGGCTGGAAGCTTGAAGGGATCTCCTGGCTCTGCATTCTGTCACAGCCAGAGGTGCCGGAGATACGGCCCATGGGATGGCCACACATCTGTCCATGTACCAGCCTTGGGAGCCTGAGCCTAATGGAAATAAAGGTGGCCTAAAAAGGTAAATTTTGAATAGAAAGCAAAGAACGTCCTCTGGAGAGAAGATGGGGGAGAAACAGGCTGAGATTATCTGGATGGAAAATCTTGAGCTCCTCCACCATAATTGGTATTTATGAACCACAGGAGAGGGCCCTGGCTTGCCCTGTGGCTCAGGGGTGTTTGGTGCCATGGCAACTTCTGGCTGCAAATAATCAATATCATGCACGTAAACAGTGGCAGAGACATGGTGGAGGGGGACTAGAGCCTGTTCTCTCTAGGTTAAAGTGCTGCTGTGCAAAGAGATAAATAAACTGCTTAAAACCAAACATGCAGTGTAATTGTGACAGGGAATTTGTTAAATCTGCTCATATTTCCATGCCTGTGGAAGCTGCAAGGATGGATGTTTGGCTGATATAGCCACACAACTGCTCTCAACAGCTGATTTTGAGAGTCTTTGATATTTTAAATTCTGAGTGCACACTCGGGTGTGACCATGAATGCTGGTGTTTTGGGAGAACTGGGGGGAATGCACTGGGATAACTCATCACGCTCAGGAAAATCATTTTAAACAGTGATGGTCAGGGTCTGCAGCAATAACAGAGGGCTAAAAGCTGAGATCTTGAGGGAAATAATCACAGCTATTTCCTAAACATTCTTTAAAAAGTATCATAAAATGATGTTAAATTCTATTAATCTCTTTGGATATTGGAATGAAAGGTGAGAAGATGGTTGTCCCAGTCCTGGAAGTGTCCAAGGCCAGGTTAGATGAGGCTTGGAGCAACCTGGGATAGTGGAAGATATCCCTGCCCATGGCCAGGGGTGGGACTGAATGAGCTTTGAGATCCCTCCCAGTCCAAACCAGTCTGGAATTCTATGAAGTCAGAGCCCAAGTAACACTGCCCCCTCCCTCCCCAGTGCCCAGAGCATCCCTGGTTACTCCAGGTTTTTATTCAGCAGCTGTAGCTCAGGCTCTGCTTGGCGGTGGAATGACCTCTCTCCTCTTTTATTTGGCTGATTTAACAGGAATGTTGTCAGGAACGTTCCAACCTTCTGTGAAGCTCTTTTCAGAGGAGCTGTGGGCTCCCTGCCTGAGCAGGCCATGGAATCCTATGAGGATTTGGATTGGAAATGTGCCACTGCAGGGGGACCACAATCTGGGGCTGGTGGGATCACTGGGGCTTGGGGGGGTGACACCAGACCCTACCCTGGCAGCCCCCGGGGTTTCCCAGGACCCAGCATCCCCTGCCAGGTGTCCAGGGACAGCCAGGGGTTTTGGGGGTCACAGGCAGGAGCAGGAGCAAGGGCAGGATTCCAGAACATTCGTCTGAGCACCCAAAGCGCTGCCTGACACAACTGTTTCAACAGGGAAAGCAAGTGGTTTGAGGATTGTTTTTTTTCAAAGAATAGTGGCTATTTTAAACAGAGGAAATTTTCAAGGTACTTCCTGTTCAAGAACACTATGAGTCAGTGCTTTATAGTAGGAAGAAAAGTAGTTTAAAGAATAAGTGTCCATTCTTGTCAATGATAAGTCACATGTATCTGCTGGAGAAATGAAACCAATCTTCAACCAATTTTGACTGATTTTGCGGGTTGGATCAGATGACCCCCAAAGGTCCCTTCCAACCCAAACCGTTCTATGATTCTATGACCCTATAGAAGGTTGAAGGAAAAGCCTAAATTACTTTAAGGATGCTTTGGTTTAATAATCCAGCACAGAAGAAAATGGCACAACTGGAACCAAGGAGAATCATAGAATCACAGAATCTCCTGAGCTGAAAGGGACCCACAGGGGTCATTGAGTCCAACTCTGATATTTCACTGGTAGGTGTGTAAATGTTCACAGATGTGGGTACAAGTAAAGTCTAAATATCAGATAGAACAAAAATGGGTCACTGGACGTGGCACTCAGTGCTCTGGGCTGGTTGACAAGGTGGGGATCTGTCCCATCACAAGACTTGATGGTCTTGAGGGCTTTTCCAACCTTAGTGATTCTGTGATTCTGTGAATTAGCAGATTCTTTCTTATTGCTTCCTCTAAAAAATGATTTCTCCCCTATTCCCCACACATCCACTGCACTGGAGGGTGTGCTGCAGTTTGGGAGGACGCATTGAACCTTCAGGCAGCCACAGGAGTTGAATTTCGCCCGAGAGTTCAGAAAGTCATCCCAAAGGATCAAGGCCAGGCTCGTTTCCTCTTTTACTTCTTGCACAGCTTCAGCTGAGGAACCAAGTGCAGAAACAGCAACAGGCTTGGCCCAATGTGGCTGTGGGTTACAGAGAACAAGTCTGACTGTGCTGAGGTTATCTGGCAGCTCTTCCTGTGTGAAGTGTGTGGGTTCCCACCAGCCCAGCTCCTGCCCTGTGCTGGCCATGTGATGCTGCAGTTCTCAGCGCAGTGATGGATCCAGACACCTCATCTTGGAATTTAGCTCATTTTCCTGCAGTCTGAGGGATCCTGCTGGAGCAATCATGGTGTTTGCAAACAGCAGCAGCTCTGCTGAGGCCCAACAGCCCTTGGGGAATCCCTCAGCCAGGAGCACATGCTCATGGCAGGGTGGGAACAAAAGGAGCTTTGAGGTCCCTCCCAACCCAAACCATTTGTGATTCTGTGGTTCTATGACATGGTGGTTGTTGAAGCTGATGGTGCTTGTGGGGTTGGTTGCCCACATGGGACTGAGCCTGAGGAGCAAAGGGAGCAGCTCAGGGGCCCCTCGTGTCTAGAGAGACTAAAACCACAGGTCTCAGCCCCTGAGCCCCTAATGTCAGGTGCAAGTCAGCCAAGGAATGAGGTTTTGAGAAAGGCAGGAGAGAAACTCTGGGGCAATGCCAGGTGCTGACGGGGTCAGTGTGGACGTGGTAGCTTCTGACCTCACATGAGGCCCCACATGGTGCTGCTCAACTGCTCTTAGTGCAGTGTTCCATTAAGGGCATAAAAACTCTTTTAAAGGCCCTTCCTTTCTGCCTTCATAGGAAATGAATAGATGCGTTTGGTAAAATACATTCCAGTTAATATTTAATGCAATGTTTGAAAGTGAAAACAAAAAGAAAACTATTAATTTGTCTTTCCTTGGTGCTTATAATAGCAGTTTAATTTAACTCTGCAAACGCTTAGAACAAAAGAAACACCTTTCAGATTCCTGCCTTTGGAATTATTAATGGCTTTATAGGGCTCAATGTACTATTTGTGTTCTTCCAGGCTGTAAAAATAAGCCCAATGGAATAATTCAGCTGAGCAGTGTCTGGATTTCCCTGCCCTTCCTGATTGGAAGCATGGAAGTGTAACAGCTGATCTCTTTCCCTCCTGTGGGTCAGCCTGCCCTCTCTCTGCCAAGGGAGGTTGGGAGGAGCAGGGCAGGGTCCCATTGGAGCATCCCAGTGTCCATCCCACCACAGGTGGTCCCAAGGGGGTGACACTGGGCTCTAGGCTGGAGGCTCTGCCCACTCTGAGTGCTGCCCTTAGGGAGGAGCCAGCAGCTTTTCCCAGGCCCTCCAGTTCAGCTCTCCCTGGAGAAAAGTCTTTGAAGACCAGAAAAACAATAGACGGCCATAAAATGTCAACAACTGCAGAATCCGGGGATGCTCAGATAAGGGGCACAGAACCAAACTCAACCCAAATGTGTGGGAAGAAGTGTTTGAGGTGGAACTCACATTCCATGTGGGCTGGTGGTGAAGGCAGAGGCTGGAGTGGCCTTTCTCAGGAATCCTCATGACACCTGGAGGGTGGTTGGGCACTGAACAGGCTCCCCAGGGCAGTGGTCACAGCACCAAGGCTGCCAGAGCTCAAGGATTGTGTGGATGATCCTCTCGGGCACGTGGTGTGACTCTTGGGGATGGTCCTGTGCAGGGCCAGGAGTTGGACTCAATGATTCTTGTGGGTCCCTTCCAAGTCATCATATTTCGTGATTCTGTGATTGTGAATCACCATCTGTCATGGAATGGCTGGTTCCCTGCTCAGGTTTCCTGGAAAACACCCCACCAAGGCTCAGCATTTCTTCCTCTCTGATGACTTGGTGGATATAAAACAAAAGCTGGGACTGGAAGTAGACTAGGAAGTTAGACAACGCTGCAAAATAAGTGGATTTTCTGCTTTTTTACATCTTATTTTTAGTTTCTTTTTCCTTTTTTAGGCTGTGCTCATCCTTCCTCTTCCCAAACCAGTCCCAGCTGGATTCTGCAGCCTCTTGAGGTATTCTGACACAAGGACCCAGTGCTGAATGATTTAGTGCCTCTCAGCTGCAGCCAGATAATGCTACTCCCAGGTACTTAAACTTCCCTAATCAGCCTCTTGAGTTGTTTTGTTTCCTGAGTGGCTTTGAGTCCATAGAACACTGTGGAAGAGAGAAACCTTCTGCTGCTCCTCTCCACCATCAGCAGCTTTCTGCTTCCAGCAATGACATGGGTAAGGAGCTCACACAGCCCTTAATAGACATGTGAGTCTGAGAAAGAAAAAGGAACAAAGAAGGTGAGACTGGGAAAAAAAAGACTTTTTTCACATGTTTTTTCAGCACTGCCACACAATGTGTCAGACAACGGCGATTTGTGACTGTAAGTCACACTGGGAACTACTGGCCTGCTCTGCCTTGGATATCTTAAGAACTTAAGAAAATGTAATGTACTTGATTATCAAGTGACATTAGAAAATTTAATTAAACCGCCCATAAATAAATTGTACAAACAAATTCTCTGCTGACTTGGGCTCCGCCTTGGTGGGTTGGGTTCCCCTCTGCCTTTGGAGGGGGAGGATTTGCAGTGGAGATGTTTTGAAGGAGACAAAAAAGCTTCCCAAAAAAGGAATAAATTGTTGCTCTTGTGCTTAATTTATGATGCTCAGTGATCCTTCTGGGAAATCCAAGGTGCAGCCCCTGCTCAGCTTGTCCCAGGCTGCGACAGCCCTATGTTGGTGCCAAAGGGAAGCAGGAGGAGTTTCCAAGACATCCAGCATGCTGCAATACAGTGAATAGCACTGGATTTTAGAGCAGAAAATAGGAATTGCTGTTTCAGTTGTACCACAGGGACAGAATGCAATAGGGACAGGTATTGTACCCGGTGGAGTCTCACCCAGCAAATTCCCACGTGCAGTTTCTGGGGTGTCAGGGTATCTCTGGAGCTCTGGCGGGGGGGGGGTCAGGGCCAAGTGAGACCGTGCAAGGGAGGCACACCATCCCTTGGGAACACCATCCCTTGGAACACCAGCCCCTGGCACATCAGCTCTTGCACTCTACCCACTCTTTCCCAACTGTGGCAGCTCCAAGTCTGGGAAAGGTCATGCCTGCTGTGAATCCAGGGTGAGTCTCCAGAGATGCAGTGCCGGGAAGCAGATTGGGAAAGTCCAATGGGGAGTCTGAGCAGCTTCACCCCATGTCTGCCACTGCTGTGAAATCTCGAGGTCGCGCTTGCACAAACCTCTCTGATGTGGGACAACAGCTTTTATTTCCTGGGCTATTGCTTGCCCCAGTTATTTTGGGAAGGAAAAGGACATCAGGGTGCCGTGGTATTGCTAAATGTTTATTTTGTCAGTGGGAGCAGTTGGTTTTCCACATGCTGTGTAGCTCCCACTGTGTTTTTACACAAAACCCACCAGAGCTCTGAGTTTACAGCAGGATACCAGAGCTGAGGAACATCTCTGGTTGTGATGCTCAGATCTGCTGGCAGGAAGGAAGTCTGGATGCAGGCAGGGAATTGTCCACAGTGTGCAGTGCTTGCCTGGACACTCCTGGATGCAAGGAGGGGGACAAGGAGACAGGAGGTCTCCTGGGTTTATCTTCCCCTACCTTCCCAGGAGATGCCAGGCTGAGGAATGGGGAAAAGGCATTGCAAATGCAGGTGAAGCCAGATGACAAGGTGATACTAAGGTATTTATTTTAATATGCTAATTGAAATGATTTGTTAATGTTCTGTGTAAAAATGAGGGGAATTTGGCCCCTGGATGTTTATAAATAGGACTGGAGAAGATCATAGAATCCCAGACTGGTTGGGGTTGGAAGGGACCTTAAAGCCCATCTCATTCCACCCCTGCCATGGACAGGGACACCTTCCACTATCCCAGATTGCTCCAAGCCCTGTGCAACCTGGCCTTTGACACTTCCAGGGACGGGGCAGATACGGCTTCTCTGAGCAACTTGTGCCAGGGCCTTCCCACCCTCACAGGGAAGGATTTCTTCCCTAAGAAGTGTCACCTGAACCCCCCCAATGACCCACTCACAGCCCAAAGTGTGTCATGACTCCTTGGGGGCTCATTCAAAACCACTTATAGTCACTAAATCACTAAAAATCCTCATTATTCTCAGAGGCATCAGTGCTGCCTTTCCTTATTTATTTATTAGGTTTGCTGGGAGCTCCTGTGCTTCCCCCACCACTCTGCTGTGGGGTGTGAGGCCACTTGCACAAATGGCTTTTAATTCTGGGAGCTCAGGATCAGCCAGCATGAGCCGTGTCAGTGATTTCATTTCAGAATTGCATTGCAAGGTGGCATAAATCAAGGATAACTGATGCCCAGGTGGGTCAGAAGCCTTTGGATCAAGTGGGAAACTCGAATTAAAAAGCCCTCATGGCAAAGGGAACCTGGTTGGGTGAGCCCAGTGGCCCTAGTGAAGCCCAGAGCACGGTCCAGCACAGCACAGAGGGGACATGTGGGGACACAGACCCTTCCCACAGTGACACCTTCTACCCAGCTTCAGACAGAGCCACTGGGAAACTTCTGTCAATCATTAACCAGCACTTCCCAAGGCACTGCACAGGTCTCTGTGCTCACATGCACCTTGCCTTGGACCGGCTCTCCAGAGCATTTCAAAACGTCAGATCAACCACACTGGGGGGTTGTAGTTACTATAATGTTACTCTAAAGTGCCACTGCTGGAGCCATGAGAGGCTTTACAGTCATCTACTATTTTTTTCTCATTTGGGGTGAAAAATGCAAAGAAAAAGACATCTTAGTGTCCCACAGCAGCCACTCTGCACCTGCCCTTGGGGAAGAGCTCTGTGCTGGCTCCCATACCAGCAGGATGGCTGGGGACACTGGGGACACTGGGGGCACTGAGGCCAGGCCTGCCCAGCCGCGGTGACCCTAACACTGTGTCCTTTGTTTTGGGACGTTTGGTGTAAACGGGTCATGGAGTGACTAAAACAAACCCCCTCAGCACGGGCAGTGCCCGCATAGTCGGGTGAAACACTGGCTGAATTATTAACTCTGCTATTGTTACTGTAATCACACAATTTATTGACAGAGCTGCTCCAACCCCTCATTTCCCACAACTGGGACAATTCTGCTGTGTCAACATGTCTGGGAGAGAGAGGAATGGGGCCAAATCCAGAAGTGGGGGGTGTTATCTGTGTTTTTAAAGTGAGGGAGGATGGGGAGAAGACAAAGAGTGACATTGGGCACTTGGCAACCAGGGCCTGTTTGGTTTGGGTTTTCCACAAATTCATGTGGATAAACTGGTGGGAGTTGTTGAGTGTCTGATAGAGGGGTTGCACAGGACTCAGCCATGAATTCAGACTTGGAGAGGGACTGGAGGTGTTGGACTTCTCAGGGTGGCAGGGACAGGCTCCCCCAAGGTCAGGATGGGACAAAACCTTGCCCAAATGTGGGCAAAGGGTTTCCAGGCATGTTTTTGGTCTTTGTCTTTTGAGGTCTGTTCACATTCAGAGCCAGCAAATTGCAAACACATCAGGCAAAATCCAACTGACTCCAACCTGTCACATAAACCACGAAGTGTTGGGAACTGCATCTTCCCACTGTAAAGTCACTCCAAATTGGGATGTGCACTTCCTTTCATCTCCAAGCCTCAAAGCCTTTAGAAATGCTGAATTTATTCTCCGTAATGGATGCATGTAAGAACTGTGGCTCCTCAGAGCAAACAGTCTGTGTGGGGAGGAGGGGCAAGGTCTGTCAAACCAGCATGTTTACAAAAAGTCATAATAACTGGGGCTTCTATCCCTGGCCACAATGTGTTATTAAAACAAAGCAGCCCAAAATATAAATACATTGTCTTTAACAAAATGCATTTGGGCATATTTGACATATTTCATATTCAAAGCAACTCTTTCATGTTGTGCTGTGGAGTGAAGGGGGGGCTCAGTTCCTGCATCCCCTGTCAGTGTTGAGGCCACTCAGGCTGCTCTGTGCTTTATGACAGGCCTGGCTGAGCACAGGATTAATCCTCCTTTTGACTTCATCCCTGAAACATCTGAACTGCTCCGAGGGAAGCCAGAGCTGGCGGGAGCTGGCCAGAGGATGCCAGGGGCTGGGTCAGCCAGGCAGGGCTCGGAGCCACGGGGAGCTGCACGTGGCCAGCCCAAAGTCCTGCTCCGTGGCTGCTCAGACATGCCCAGGACAGGATGCCAGTGCTCCATACTTTCAGAAGTAATGCTGGGGAAAGGCTGGAGCTCCTGCCAGCCTTCCCAGAGCTTGGGCTCGTTTTCTTCACCATGTTGACCTGAGGCCCTGGCACCCAGAGGGGCCCTTCCTAAAGGCCCACCAGCAGCTGAATGGAAAACTTCTCCTGTATTTCCCAGGAGGATGGAAACATGGAGGCAAACAGTGCATGGGGGCTTGGGCAAGGACACTCAGTGCGAGTTCAGCAGCTGGATGAGTACCCAGTACAGGCTCCATGGGGATGGCAGTGGGGATGGGAAGGGCTGAGCTGGCCCCTCAGGGAGCACCCACAGTGTGTGGGATGCAGTGCTGGGATGATGCTGCAGCCAGGACCAGTTGGGACCCTTCCCGGCATGCCCCAGCCAGTGCCCACCACGGTGCCCATGCTTCCAGCCAGGAACACTGGGACCATAAGAGCAGCAGCCAGTTAATTTATAACCTCTGTTCTCCAATGAAGTGTGGATTAATTGTGCACAGGAAGGAGCTGGGGCTCAGCTGCCATCTCAGAGCAGGAATCTCTGGAACATTAATGCCAGGGAGCTGCTTGTGGATTCCTGCCCCCATAAACTGGTGGGGATCTGCAGGGCCCAGCCTGGAAATACCTTTCTGGTCCCATTGTCCTTGCCAATAATTTTTGGAAAAGACCCCCGAGTCCCAAGGATGCTGGATCTCAGCAACCAGGGGAGTGATTCACGGGTGGGTGAAAACTGCCCTGAGCAGGGTGTGAGCCTGTAAAACACACTTTATATAACACAGGGTCAGATGGGATATTGGGAAGGAATTGTTCCCTGGGAGGGTGGTGACGCCCTGGCACAAGTTGCCCAGAGAAGCTGTGGCTGCCCCATCCCTGGAAGTGTCCAAGGCCAGGTTGGACGGGGCTTGGAGCAACCTGGGATAGTGGAAGGTGTCCTTGCCCATGGCAGGGGTGGGACTGGCTGAGCTTTAAGGTCCCTTCCAACCCAAACCAGTCTGGGATTCTTCTGGGATTCTGTGATATCACACCAAATCTCCAGAAACTCTGGGCAGAGGCTTGTGCATCTTGAAGGAGCTGTTTATCCTGACAGAGCACAATTTTGGGGAGCTTTCTGCTGTCTCTGGGCAACCAGACCTATCAGCTCTTGCTCTTCCTGCTGCTGTTTAAGATCAGAAAGATCTGCCTTTTGTGGTTCCATCTCTGTTTCACAGCCTTCACCACCCTCTCGCAATCTGCTTTTTTAAAATATAGTTTCTGTGTTGCTTTCTTTTTTTAACTGAGATTAAATTAGTTGAGAAAGGGAAACTCAAACCCAGACCCCAAATTTCATT